CAGCCTGTCCAGCTTGTCCCTGAGTACTGGAGCTGGCGGGCTGGGGATGAGAGGAAGCGGGACTCGCAGGGGGAAACCCCCAGAGGTAGTGGAGATCAGCAAATTATGTGGTTTTTTTTTTTTGAGTTGGGGGTCACACCCTGCGATGCTCAGGGGTTACTCCTGGCTCATGCACTCAGGAATTACTCCTGGCGGTGCTCGGGGGACCATATGGGATGCTGGGAATTGAACCCAGCAAGGCAAATGCCCTACCCACTGTGCTATTGCTCCAGCCCCACAAATTATGTTTTTTTTTGGTGATGGTGGTGGGGAGAAGGATACCTAGCGGTGCTCAGAGCTTCCTACTGCTGTGCACTCAGGGCCTGCCTGGGAGGCCAAATGGCCAAATGGCACCGCTCGGGATGGAGCCAGGGTTGGCCGAGTACACACTGTCCTACCTCTCCTGGGCTCACATCTCGGGTTATTTTTCTAAACCTACACAGCGGTAGGGTGTTTGCCTTGCACGCGGCTGACCCGACTGACCCAGGTTCAATTCCTCCGCCCCTCTCAGAAAGCCCAGCAAGCTACTGAGAGTATCTCGCCCGCACAGCAAAGCCTGGAAAGCTACCCGTGACATATTCGATATGCCAAACACAGTAACAAGAAGTCTCACAATGGAGACGTTACTGGGCCCGCTCGAGGAAATCGATGAACAACGGGAGGACAGTGAGAGTGACAGTGACACTGAGAAGACATGAAAGAAGCAAACGGCCAGGCCCCCAAGCCCGCTGCTGCCTCCTCCTTCTGGTGATAGAGGAAGAGGCCTGGGAGGCGAGAGCCGTTCTGCAGAGGCTGAACACCTGCATCCTTCGCCAGCTTCAGGCGGTGCCTTCCTGGGCCTGAGACGAGAGGCAGGGCTGGCAGAGTGGAGGCAGAGGCACCCCCATGCCCAGCTCATGCTGGAGGGACACCCTGTCCAGGGGGACTCCGGGCCGGCCTCTGGAGGATGCCAGGGAAGGCTTCAGGGGGACCCGAGGCCCAGCTTCCGGCACTGCCCTGAGGACAGCAGCCCCACCAGCCGGGACATGGGCACCAATCTGTGCCCCCCACAGAACCGCCACACAGCTTTAAACACAAAATATTCTTTTATTTGTCAACGAAGGCTACACGGGATCACTTTCTGGGTTGGTTGTTTTTTTTTTCTTTTTTTTTTTTTTTATGCCTTTTTCTCTTTTTTTCTAGAAGGTATCTACATCTGCCTGTATTTACAGCCTGGTCGGTATTTACACAGTCAACAATACAGTGTTAGAAACGCAACCGTGTCAAGAAAAAGAAAAACCAAAAAACTTCTCAAAATCAGTTCCAGACTTCAGGGAAACGATTCCCGCATGGTAAGGCCAGAGTCCCCAGTGCTGGCTGTCCGCGGCCGGCGTGGGGAGTGCAGCTGCCCGGCCGTGGGCTCCAGTGGTGGCGGCCTAGAGCGTGGCTTCTCGGCTGGGGTGGGTGAGCCCAGGCCACGCACATGGGGGGACAGCCCGGCCTCCAGACTCACCCGTCTCGAAGCCTGCCCTCATCCCAGCCCATCCCCCCAAGGCCGGGGGGGGTGTCCCCAGCTCGTGCCCTTGGCGTTGCAGAAGTGGGGACCCCGGAAGGCGCCTCCCACCTTCCCGGCCACTTTGATCACGATGAGCCCTAAGAACTGGGCGCTGCCTGCGCTGGGGCCACAGGGCTGGTTTGGCGAAGTTACAGGATCCAGTTTCTGTCCCTTGAGCAAATGAGTCGCTCGAGGGACTTTGCTGCTTTTGAAGGTCAAGGAAAGGGCCCTAATGCACAGGTGTTTGTATGTTTTCAAATTCCCTCTCCTCCAAAAAAGACACAGACCTGTTTCTAAACTTGAGTGCATTGGGGGCCTTCCGGGCTGGGCTTCGAGTCCTGGCAAGCCCCACCCAGCATGGGGTGGGGATGGGCTATCCTGGGTGCCCCCCCCCCCATAATGGCTCAGGAGGAGTGGACAGTGTGTTAAATTTGGAATGTGTCACACCCCAACGCCCAGGGCGGCTGTGGCCTGGCCACTCCGCCCTCCTGGGGACCAGGGCTGGCTGCCCCTGCAGACCCCACACCCCAGCCCTGCTCCACACACGGCAGGCCTGGCCATGCATCCACAGTGGGGGGCCTGAAAAGTCCCCGCCGGAAAGGTCCCCCCTCCATCTTTCTTTGAAACCCCCCCCAAACAACTCTGGTTTCTCGTCACGTGGAGAAGGCTCCTGGTTGTGCTTGCTTTCTGTCTGGTTCGCCTCACTCTCGACCCCACCCCGGGGCCTCCGCCATCCTGCCGACGCCAACACTGACCCTGCACTGGCACCTCGTGGGGTCCAGCCCACTCCCCCGCTCCCTGGCTCTCCTAGGAGACTCACCTCACCTGGGGGTGGGGTGCAGCTGGGAGCTGGGGTTTTCCTCGGGCTCCTCATCCTGCATCAAACCACATCTGGCTGGGCTGGGGGTGAAGAAACGTCACCCCTCATTAGTGGGGGGGCCCCCAAAAAGTCCTTCTTGAGGTGGTAGAGAATGGACAGAATGAGGGGCGCTGGGGGGGGGGGCGGAGTGAGGAAGCAGAACCTTCCCGAGCGAGTGACGCCTTTGTGCAGGTCTGACGTGGTGCAGAGCGGAGCGGGGGACGGGCCTTCCGGGAGGGGCTGCCCAAGCCACGGGGCTCCTGTCTCGACCCCCTGACTTCCTTTGCCGTTGTTTTGGGGCCACACCCCGTGATGCTCTGCAGTTACTCCTGGCAGTGCTCAAGGGACCATATGGACTGACAGGGGTCGAACCCAGGTTGGCCGCATGCAAAGCAAACGTCCTGTCACTCGGGCCCGGCTGCTACTTCCCTTATGGTGTTAGCTGGCTGTGGCCAAGGACAGGCTGAGGGCGGCCTCGAGCCCCTCACTAGCACAGACGAAGCTCGGGGACCAGCGGCCAAGCTGTCTCTCTCTCTTGCCTCCCTCCTGCAACCTTGGGGAGCTGGGGCAGCCTGGTGTGGGGCACCCAGGAGAAAGACACGGCCTTGAGGAAAGGGGTGTTTCTGGTCTTTAAAAGCCCACACTGAGGGGGAGCATGGGGGATGTGTGGCCGGTGGAGAGTGGATCCTTTGGTGGTGGCCATCCCTGACCCCTAAGGACGGTGCCCTGCAGGGAGGGGCAGGGGCCAGGATGGTCCAGACAGCTTTGTCCCAGGGCCCTTGAGAGCAAATATGCCAGGAGGCATTGAGTCTATTTTGGATCAGAAATAACCAACCCAACCCAACGTGTGTCTAGGCCAGACTGTGCTGACCCCTGGAGTCCCGTATGCTGGTGGGGCCCAAGAGGCAGGCAGTGACCCAGCGTGACCCAGTGAGCTTTGTGGTGGGTTTTCTTGAGGGGGGGGTGGTGGGAGACCAGAAGAGCACTTAGCAAAACGCATCCTTGCACCCCAAGTGAGGATGTAAAGGCGTGACCCCCACACTCCGGGCTGCCTCCGTGGGCCAGGCCGAGCCCCCCGGCCCGCACGTACCTTCTGTGGCAGGCAGGAAAAGCCCTTCCCGGGCTCAGGGACTCGCGCCGTTTTCTGAAGACTGAATAAGGCTATAAAGGTGCCATGAGCTTATCGGTCCAACAAGGTTTCCACGGGGAAGAGCTCAGACTCAGAATTCATTTTCCACACTTAATGTAAATGAAACCCATAAAAGTCCCGTTTTCCAAAGAGCCCCGCTGAAAGGGGCGCCCCTGGCTGCCGGCTGGTAGGAGCTGGTTCTCCCGAGGCCTCCTGGGCGCCAGGCCCCCCCGAGCTGGCCGGCTGCGGGATCCAGCCGGGCCAGGCCCCACGCACACTCTCTCTCCCGTTCTCCTTACGATTTCCCCGGAACCACCGTGGCGGCTTCTCGGGGGGGGGGGGGGGGGGAACGTCCTGGGAGAAAAACCCCTGAAAGCCTGTCTGGCTGCACAGCCGCGTGGAAGCAGGCAGCAGCGGGTCCTCGGGATGGAGTGGACGATGGGCAGCCCGGACCTTCCTCTCTCTGGAGGGCTTCCCAGGGTGAAGGCCGCTTGTCCCCACACCCCCACTCCACTCAGTGCTGGCAAGAGAAGCGCCCCCCCACCCCCGGAAGGGACCGTGCCCCGCCCGGGGCAACGGGGGAGAAGGCGGGCACGCAGGGGCGACCCCTCCCCGACGGAGGGCTGGTTGTGTGCTGCTGGTTCTCACTTGGATGTGAGCGTGGGCAGGGGAGAGGAGGCGAGGAAGAGGAAACGTCGCGGAGGATGGGGGCGCACAGACGGCTCGGGAGGGCGGGGGGCGTGTGACCTGTCAGCGGGCCGGGAGCAGGGACCTGGGCGACGCTTGCCCAGCAGGGGTGGGCACGTGGGGACAAAGACGTGGGATTCACAGATGGACGGGAGGTGGAGGGGAACCACTTAGCATCAGAGATGAACCCGGGCTTGGTCCTAAAAGACGGAGCCGGGGGGCAGTTCAGGGAACAAAAGACGGCGGAGCCCGGGGGGGCACACACACAGCCCAGGAGCTCGGCTGGCTGGCTGGCTGGTCGGGCAGACCCTCCTCCAGAGCCCGGCCCGGCCCCAGCCTGGACCGAGCCCTCGCTCCTGTCCGCCCCCACGGAGGGCAGGCCACAGCAGACAAGTCCACACAGACACTTGCGTCTCACATCACACTGGGGAGCGGGGTGGGCAGCCCGGGAGGACCCCCCGGAGGAGGGGGGGAGGACAAGGAAGAACTTCCAGGGCTTGAAAGGGCACAAAAGACAAGGGCGTTTCCTTGCGCTCACACTAAGGGGGTGGGAGGGGGGAAAATCCCTTCTGTTCTTTGCAAAAATCGTGTGAAGGACAAATCTGTGTTTTGTTTCTTAAAAAAAAAAAAAACCCAAAGAGATGCCGCATCTGTCACAATGCCACAGTATCTTTTTTTTTTTTGTCTCGTTTTGTTTTCTGCACTTTTTTTTTTTAAAAAAAAAGAGAGACTAGACTCTGTTCTCTTTCTCCTCCTCCCCTTCCTTTGAAAGGACGGCACAGCTGCGGCCGCCCGCTGGAGCAGCCGTCTTTGGCAAGGAGCCCGGGCGGGGCACCGCGCTGTCACCTCCTGCCCATCTCGCTCTGTCTCATGAAGTGGATGTTGTTGGCGCTGTCGGCCAGCTCCGGGTACTGCTCCACCGAGAGGACGAAGAAGCCGTCGTAGCCCTGCACGCGCCCGGTGCTCAGCGCCTGCTGCCGCTCCGCCTCGGTCCAGGCCCGCAGGCCCTCCTCTCCCTCCCGCAGTCTCTGCTGCTCGCGGGCCCAGGCCTGGCGCAGGGCCCGCTGCCGTGCCAGCTCCAGCACCCGCGCCTTCTCCTCGTCCAGCGTCGTCCCGTAGCGCGTGTTCAGGCGCAGGGCCCCGTACTGGAGCTGGACGTCCGTGTAGCGTCTAGTCCTGCCCCCGAGCACGGTGTTGATCTGGGACACGGTGACGTTGACCCCGTTCTCCAGGGTCCGCCGCCCCCCGCTGAGGCCCAGGATGGCCAGGTCGCCCTCCGAGGGCCCCGGCTTCACGAAGTAGTGCGTGTCCACGCCGTCGATGGTGAAGTGCAGGCTCTCCAGGTAGTGGGCGTTGTTCAGCACGGCGGCCACCCGGCGCCCGTCCTCGTTGGCCACGCTGATGATGTCCGTGGCCACCCGGCCGTCCTTCAGGGCGAACTTGACGCCCTTGCCGAAGACGGAGCCGCCCGACGCGAACATCCTGGTCTCGGGGGCCTGCTGGCAGCTGGGGATGGTGGAGCCGTAGAGCTGGTCGAAGCGCTCCAGGGTCACGAAGGCCTTCAGCTGCTTCTGCACTTCGCACTGCACCCCGAGAGTGGCCTGGGGGGCAGAGGGGAGAGAGAGAGGGAGGAGGTGAGATGGAGGGGGAGGGACCCCGAGGGTGGAAGCTTCAGTGACTCCTCTCTCTCTCTCTCTCTCTCTCTCTCTCTCTCTCTCTCTCTCTCTCTCTCTCATGCACACACAAGCGCGCGCGCACACACACACACACACACACACATGACCCCGCACCCATTCAGCTCTGGGCCCCGGGCCGTCACACCTCCTTCATCCCCCGCCCTGGCCTTGCACTCTGCAGGCAGCTAGGAGCAGACTCCCGCAAAGGCCCTCCTCTGGGCCGGGAGAGAACCTTCTTCTCCTTGCTGTGTGTCTGGGTGAGCAGGTATGATGACAGAGAACTTCCGTCAGAGCTGGTGACAGGCCGTCCAGAGAATGGGCCGTGAGGGTCACACCTGAGCCCAAACATTCCCGCCCAGGATCTCCACACTTCACCCCAGAGACTGTCAACGGGCGGGCGGGGGACTGTGCCCTCCCTTGGAAGGAAGAGACGGCTCAGAGGGCAGCTCTGAGGCCACAGTCACACACACGCCTGCTCCCTCTGGGCACCCGGGGCTGCTCCTGGGCCCAGGACAAGGGAGGTGGAGCCTGAGGCTGGCGAGGAGATAAGACCCCACACCCAGCCCCTCAGCGGCCGGAGGATGAGGAGGGTGAGCTGGCAGCACCTGCCAGAGGATGCACAGAAATGCTCAGCGAGTCTCGCAGTCAGTCGCGGTGTGGTCCACAGGGGGTAGGGGGGCCTGACTGCCACAGGCTTTCTCTCCAGGTGCTCCCCGGGGGTCCCTGCCCTTGGCAGGCTGGGGACAGGCTGGGCCTCCTCTCCCCCATCCCGTCCCGTCCCTTTCCAGGCTGGTGGCAGGGCCTTATCAGTCACGCGGGGAAATGGCTTTACAAACAGGCCCGTCGGCTGCTCACTGAAATTAAGTCCTCTTTATAATTAATAGAACCCTGTCTGTGAACAATTATTTCCTCGAGTTTCACCAAAGCTGGAGTGCTCAACAACAAAGATCTCAGATGCTTGCCAAGGGCAGAAATCAATAATTCATTGACAGGCGAGGTTGGCAAACAGGCCCTCGGAGGGGCTCTGCGGGTGGAGGCGGGACCCGGGCGTTGGGGGGGGGGGGTGAGGGGGAGCTCGGGAGGCGGGTGTGGAGTGGCCGAGCATCCCAGGGAAAGCAAACAGGAGGACGTCAGGGTGGGAGGGCGACGGAGGCGGGTGGGTGCAGAGGGCCAGGGCTTGATGATCAGAGAGCGTTCCCCCCACCCCCCAACCCTGCTTGCCACTTTCCTGAGGTGGGCGATCCCAGGAAAGCCCCTCTCGGCGTTCCAGCCCCCTCCTCTGCAAACCTCACTTGCTCTGCTCGGGCCCTCCGCCCCCCCAGACTGGGGGCTTCAGACAAAGAGCAGCAGACGAGGAGCCCCTTCTTGGTGCTGCCCCCTGTGAGGGGAGGGTAGGTGCCAAGCTTGCATGGCAGCCGGGCTTTCCTGAGAGTGGGCAGGGCGGGGAGGGGGGGAACATCCCTGGGGGCCGGCGGGGAGCGGGGGGAACATCCCTGAGGGCTGGGGGGGGGGGGTTGGCCCGCGTGCAAGATTACCTTGCTGTTGTCCCATTCCTGCGTCTTCATCTGAGTGTGGATAAGCTCGTAGGATGGCTCCATGGCATCCGTGTCGGGCTTGGGGTAGCCGGGAATCACGTTGTACAGCTGGAACCCGAAGGTGAGCAGCCAGCTGTTGACATCTGGGTGGAGAGAGGCAGAGGCCCTGCGGTGAGTGGGTGGGGCCGACTGGAGGTGGCCTGGACCATGATGAGGTGGGATGCTCAGTTCCTTCCCTGTCCTCCAGGAACCCCCTCCTGCAGGGCTTATTCCCCTCTGGCCCCCCCCCCCACCTGAAGGGTCCCCTTGGGGCTTCTGGCCCCCTTTCTTCTGCCGCCCGTGGGACCCCCACAGAGAGACCCCTCCACGCCTGCCCCCCGCGTGACCGGGAAGCGCCCTCAGAGGGTGCCCCCACCCCGCACGAGAAAAACAGCTTCCCCAGAGATGATTCATTTAAGAAGGAAACTCAGAGTAGGGAAAGGGGTACACGTGAGGAGTTTTCAGTACCTGTACTGCAAACCACAGTGCCCCAGAGGAGAGAAAGGGCAGGGCTGGTGGTGGGGCGGAGGAAGTGTCTGCCATAGAGATAGGCTTGGGGGGTCAGTCTGGAGGAGGGGGGAAATGGGGACGCTGGTGGTGGGAAATATACACTGGTGAAGGGACGGGTGTTGGAACACTGTATGACTTGACTGAAACCCAATAATCTCATGGTCACTGTCACTGTCCTCCCGTTGCTCATTGATTTGCTCGAGCGGACCCTGTAACGTCTCCATTGTGACAATTGTTACTGTGTTTGGCATATCGAATACGTCACGGGGAGTTTGCCAGGCTTTGCCGTGCGGGCGAGATACTCTCGGTAGCTTGCCGGGCTCTCCGAGAGGGGCGGAGGAATGGAACTCAATGGAAAAAAAAGAAGGAAACTCAGGGAGACAGTGCTCGGGATGGGGTTCTGGATGGCTTGTGACAATTGTTACTGTGTTTGGCACTAATACGTCACGGTGAGCTTGCCAGGCTTTGCCATGCGGGCGAGATACTCTCGGTAGCTTGCCGGGCTCTCCAATAGGGGCGGAGGAATTGAACTCAATAAAAAAAAAAAGGAAACTCAGGGAGACAGTGCTCGGGATGGGGTTCTGGATGGGGCAGGAGGCAGCTAAGGTGCCATCGTAGCTGGCAGCCAGGGTCTGTGATGGGAAGGTGGAGTGGCCCTTAGCCCAGCGACTCTGTGTCAGTGCCCAGGCCACTTGGAGCCTTCTTTTTTAATTTTGTTGTTGTTGTTTTGGGACCACACCTGGCAGTGCTCCTGACCCTGCACTCAGGAATCACTTCTGGTGGGCTTGGGGGGACCATCCGGGATGCCGGGGATCGAACCCGGGATAGCCATGTGCAAGGCTATCACCCAACTCTGGGCCTTTTTGAAGGGGACAGAGCGGCCAGGAGGGGTGATTCAGGGACCAGTCCTGGCGGGACTGTTTCCCCAACCCTCAGTGGGCTCCCCAGGGACGAGAGTGACCTCTGGCTCCACAGCTGTGTCCCGTTCCTCGCATGTCCCAGCTAAATCCGGGGGGGGAGGTGGGGGCTTTGGGGTCAGGTACCCCATCTCTCTCTTGGGTGCCTCCAATGGTGCTGAGCTGAAGGCCGTGGGGAGGGAGCCTTGACATCAGGTTGCCCTTGGAGAAGAATCAGAGACAGGAAGGACAGGCAAGGCAAGACCAAACACAGCTCAGGTCTGTCTCCCTGCGAGACACACCACGTCCGGCCATCTCGGGCCGCCACCTCCTTCCTCCTCTGTACACGGGGCTCCATCAGGAAGGAGCATGTTGTCGAAACAGCGTGACTGTTTCGGGGCGGCTATTATCTGTTTGGGCAGCAACTGTTTTGAGTTTGTTGCATCAAATACTGGATCTTGGAAGGGAGGTCCTGTTTGATGGTGCCTCGCTTGATTTTAAAATAATTATTTCAAAAGTGATATGCTCTTTCACTACAATGGGGAACTAATTATGGTCTTATTTCAAGCCAAAACTTGACATACTTTTTATTAAAAATTACCATGAGGGGGCTGGAGCAATAGCACAGCGGGTAGGGTGTTTGCCTTGCACACGGCCGACCTGGGTTCGATTCCCAGCATCCTATATGGTCCCCTGAGCACGGCCAGGACTGATTCCTGAGTGCAGAACCCGGAGTTACCCCTGTGCATTGCCAGATGTCACGGTCACGGTCCTCCCGGTGTTCATCGATTTGCTCGAGCGGGCCCAGTAACGTCTCCATTGGAGACTTTTTTTTTTGTGTTTGGCATATCGAATACATCACGGGTGGCTTGCCAGGCTCTGCCGTGCGGGCGAGATACTCTCGGTAGCTTGCCGGGCTCTCCGAGAGGGGCAGAGGAATCGAACTGGGGTCGGCCATGTTGGCTGCGTGCAAGGCAAATGCCCTACCGCTGTGCTATTGCTCCAGTGGCCCCCCCCCAAAAAATTACCATAAACCTAAAGATAAATTTTACATTTTTTCTTTGCAGAGAATTTATGTTTTAATTTTTGCATTTAATTTTTTGCTTAAAGAAATAAGAATAATTTTACAAAGAAAAAAATGACTATTAATTGGTGCAATGCCAAAGACCAAACCCATGGCCCACTACAGGCAAGACCTGGGCTTCTTCTTTGGTATAAACTGAAGGCTAGTGGGTGAAATGCTAGGGACTGGAGAGATGGTACAGCGGGCAGGGCACTCGCCTAACATGCGGCGACCCTGGTTTGGTCCCCGTCATTCCATATGGTCCCTTGCACCCACCAGGAGGGATCCCTGAGCACCACTGGGTGTGGCCCCCAAACAACCTCTCCCCGCCAACAATGGAAGGCTAGTGGGCCCTGCATTGTGGTGGCCCTGCTCCTCCAGCAGTCTGGACAGTCTCCTCCTTCAGGCAAGTACTCGGCTTTGGACGCTGTCCAGCTACTGCTCACGGATCTAGCAATCCACCTGCTGGGATACTGATCTACTGGCCCACGGAACTTTTATGTGCATGAAACCAAACAGTCCCTTGCTTTATTCTCCTGACTGCTATGGCCTGGTGCTCCCCATCTCTCTCCAAGCCTGTCTCAAGGCACTCCTGGCTCTCAGTGCCCAGGTCAGATCTGAGCTACGTACGAGGTTATCTGTGTTTCTCCCGTCTGGGGCCTCCACTCCCTCTTGGGTAATCTGGGTGCTCGGGCTGACTTCTGTCTAGCTCCATTCCTCCAGGAACCTCTGATTCTATGAATCTTGGCAGATGGTTCTTTGGGAAATTAAAACAGAACAAAGGGGAGAAAAAAACTTGACAAAACCATTTTGCCTGAGGCTGAGAGCTTGCATCTGAATTTGTAGTTGCAAAGGAAAGCTTCTAGGAGGGAGCCAGGCAAACTTCCTGGGGCCGGGCCTTGGGTGGAAGTGAGGGAAGTTGGGAAACTTTCCCACTGTGCCTTTAGGAAAAAAAGAAAAATATATTTATTCATGGTTTTTCCTATCGGGGCTGGAGCGATAGCACAGCGGGTAGGGCGTTTGCCTTGTGTTAGGTCCCTAGGGACCCTGAGGGAGATTCCAGAGTTAAAACTCTATAAATTAGTAACTCTCCCTTTCCTGTCCTCCTTATCTGTTACCTCCCTTAAGAACTCTTCCCTTATCCACCTCCGGAATGCAGGGCTGAGAATCAGAGGAAGCAAGGTGATAACCAAATGTCCAAGTTACCTGATGCCCACTAGTCACAATGCCTATGTACGTAAATGCTGATCTTGAATCTATAGGCTAAGGAGTGATGTACTTCTACATGGATTGGTTAAGAAAGCATATGTTGTTACAAATCTATTGGCTATGAAATGCGCGGGCTTTGCTGTAACGGCCAGTGAAGGCCTATATAAGATCCCCTTTGAAGAAGTTCGGGGTCTTGCCTCACCTAACTGACCTGCGTGTCTGTGTAGGCGGCTTGACCCTGGCTAGCCAGTCTTACAATAAACCTTGCTTGCTGTTTGCAGTCTCTGGAGTTTCTTTGTCGTTAAAGGGAGATCACGATCCGTGCCCTAACATTTGGAGGCCCCAGCGAGATCTCCCGACGGCAAACGGGCCCAGAGAGCGGGTTTTGAAAAGGCCTTAAAAAAAAAAAAAAAAATTTCTGGGGAATATTCCGTCTGTTCTGTGGGGGGACAGTGTCCCCTTCTGGACCGCGGCAGGGAAGTAGCTAACCCTGTGAGGACTTGGGGGGACATAGGGTTTCCTCGGGTCCTCGTCTGTCTGTTCTGGAGGCCTCGTCTGTTCTGGACCGCGGCAGGGAAGTGGCCAACCCTGACTGGGAGGACTTGGGGGGACATAGGGTTTCCTCGGGTCCTCGTCTGTCTGTTCTGGAGGCCTCATCTGTTCTGGAAAATCCGGCGCCGGGAGAAGACCTGGAAGAACTAAACCCTCCGGAGGTGAAAATCACGTGCACGCCCTTTGGGCATATTCGGGAGTCCCAGGGTGACTGGTGAGTGTGGTGCGCACCCGTGTGAGAGAGTGGACCGGTCCGAGCGAGTGCAGGAGTGTGATCTGTGCGTGTGTCCTTAGTGTGTGTATTTGTCTTATTATCCTTCTCTTAGTTCTGTTTATTGAGATTGTTTAATATGGGTCAGAATCAATCGACCCCCAAAGCTTTAATTCTTGATCACTTCTCTGAGATCCACAGGAAAGCTCAGAATCTGGGCTTGATGATCAAGAAAGGTAAGTCTGACAATTACTGTTCATCAGAATGGCCTTCCTTTGGTGTGGATTGGCCCCCAGGAGGTTCCTTCTCTCCAAACCTTGTGGCTCGGATAAAGGAGGCAATCTGTGGAAGATCTGCTGTGAAGGTATGCTCCCTTGGAAATCTCTAGGGGGACTGGGGGAGGAATGTGATAACCTCTGTGTGAATGTGTGTGTGTCTGAGCACCCTGATAGGTCCTCCTATCGGGCGTGATTTTGTAGCTCCACGACCTGGCACTCTTAAAGTCCCTCTAAAGTCACGGAGCTCGAGTGGGCTGCCTGAGATTCCATGGAGAACATACGGTCAATGGTGGCACTGGCATAGTTGCCAGTCGCAAGTCACAATGCTGAACCACTAAGGCTAAGTTCTCCTCCGGCCAGGCAAGCATCTGAATGGTCTCTGCAA